GAAGTCTTTTTCAGACTCTGTCCAAAGTCACAGTGACTATTTGTAGTTGCTCAGCAGAAAATTTGTCATTAAGAGGCCGGGCTCCGCTGCTCCCCCCGAACCCCCAACCCGGAACCACATAACCCATCCCCGTGGCCGGCGCCAGGCCAGGCTGTCCGGGCCTCCAGCAGGACACCGGCAGCTTCCTGCACTCCCGGCCTGGTCAGCGCTCAGCTCACCTTTCAGGCCTGACCCCCGACTGGGCTGGGCCCCAGGTTGGGGCTCCGGGCCACAAGGACTGTAACCACACCTGCCCGCCCTCTGCTCCCATTGCCTTTTTAGAGGATCTCCCACACCCTGGGATTCAGAACCCTTAGTTCCCCGATGGGAAAACCAAGGGACAGATCCAGGAAGGGGCAGTGGGCTGAGTGCTGAGGGGCCTCCATGCCTCCACTCAGGGTGGCAACTGCTTCCCAATGTGACCCGGGGGCCTGTAAGGACCCTTCTGTCCCTGAAACGCTCCCTCCAGGCTCCTCTGTGGGTCCGAGAGGCCCGAGGCTGCATCCCGTGGGGGTCTGGCCTCCAGGAGGCACATGGGGTCACTGAGGGCTGGAGTGAGAAAGAACAGGGTTGGGACAAGCCCTGGGGACTGGGAGCTGCTCCCGAGCGCCCCCTCCTTCCATCCTGCCAGCCTTGCCACACCTTGGCGCACCGTCCACGTGCCCGCCATGGCCAGGTCCTGGGGAGAGATGAGACTCACCCTGTGCTGGAGGGGCTCAGTCTGTACCCAGAGGAGGGAGCAAGGAGCTTCCAAGAGGAGGTGCTGCTGGAGGGGGGCCTGAAGGGAGAGGGAGTTGAGGACATGGAGAGAGGATGGGTGGGTGCCTGTGGACAGAGGGAAGAACTCACTCCTGCCTCTCTGTGTGCCAGGTACCAGCCCACCTTCGATCCCTGAAGGCAAGGCCAGCGTGGCCTTGGGGCTGCCACGGGGACTGGAGGGATCACTGAGCCTACACCGGCCAGGGGACCCTGCCTTCCAGCCAGAGGGATCTTTGCAGAACCGCTCGGGGGTCACACAGTCCCACATATTCCAAAGACTGCAAACCAGGAAATGTAGGCTTCGGGGGGCTGCCCCAAAGCAGGGGCTCTCAACCTGGGCTCCAGGGACCCTAGTTGTGAATAAAACCGTGTGTGTGCATGTTGGGTGCATGTCCTTCTGGGAGAGAGGATGGGTGGGTGCCTGTGGACAGAGGGAAGAACTCACTCCTGCCTCTCTGTGTGCCAGGTACCAGCCCACCTTCGATCCCTGAAGGCAAGGCCAGCGTGGCCTTGGGGCTGCCACGGGGACTGGAGGGATCACTGAGCCTACACCGGCCAGGGGACCCTGCCTTCCAGCCAGAGGGATCTTTGCAGAACCGCTCGGGGGTCACGCAGTCCCACATCTTCCAAAGACTGCAAACCAGGAAATGGAGGCTTTGGGGGGCTGCCCCAAAGCAGGGGCTCTCGACCTGGGCTCCAGGGACCCTAGTTGTGAACAAAACCAAGTGTGTGCATGTTGGGTGCATGTCCTTCTGCAAGGCTCTGTCACTTTTGTGGGGTGCTTGTGGGGGCCATGGCCCCGGGGGGGCAAGAACTCTTGCTGCAGGAGATCAGGGCTGGGAGGAGCTCACACCCGGGGAGCGAGGCCTGCACTCACTGACGAGGAAGCCACGGCTCAGGTGGAGACATGCTCTGTCTGCCGTCAGCCTGGACGCGGGTCTCTGTCCAGGGCTGCGAGGTGCCCTCCAGAGAGGGCTTCACATTAGAGGGTGCCGTCTGCGTGTCCGGAGAAAGCAGCTCCCTGGCCCCATTCCCAAAGTAGGTCTTTGCACAGCTGAGTCTGTGTGCACATTATGCTAGAGCCGTGGTCGGCAAACCGCGGCTCACGAGCCACATGCGGCTCTTTGGCCCCTTGATTTTTTCACAAAATACTGCCACACTCAAGGGACCAAAGAGCCGCATGTGGCTTGCGAGCTGCGGTTTGCCGAGCCGCAAGTTTGCCGACCACTGTAGAGGATGGGGCTCAGGTGTGTGCTCACACACACACAGATAGTGCTTGGGAGCTGCCTTCTGGGGCTGCGGTTAAGGGTGGGGTTCTGAGTTCCAAACGGTGCTTTGCTACTTGCTGAGCGACCTTGGGCAAGTCTCTAGGCCTCTCTGTGCTTCAGTTTCTGCATCTGTAAAATGGGCAGAATAACACCACCTACCTCATAGGATGGTTGTGAAGATCATGGATCTGCTCATTCCCCCACCTCAACGGTGCTTTGCTACTTGCTGAGCGACCTTGGGCAAGTCTCTAGGCCTCTCTGTGCTTCAGTTTCTGCATCTGTAAAATGGGCAGAATAACACTACCTACCTCATAGGATGGTTGTGTGTGAAGATCATGGATCTGCTCATTCCCCCACCTCCCTGGCTTGGGATTTGGGGATGACAGGCTTGCTGGGTCCATCTTCTCAAAGCAAGGACAAGAGTGAAGTCTGGGTGGTGGCCAGTTCATATTCTGGGGTGGTCAGGCCCCTCTGGGGAGCCCCTGAAAGTTCCCACTCATTGAGCACATCTTTGGAAAGCTCTCCCTGCCCTGGGCACTGACCCAGGGCCTCACCCAATTCTGTGACTTCCCAGCCCCACACACAGCAGGTGCTCAGTAAGGACACGAATGCGGAGTCCAGGCCCAGGGGCAGCTGGAGGCCTGTACCACCCTGAGAAGCATCACTAACATGACGAGCCCACTCCTGTCTGAGAAAGCAGAGCGATGCCTCATGTAGGGTGGCCCCTTCAAGGGCACGGACTGGGCCTGGCTGGCAATCGGAGCCCGCCACTTTGGCCGCTCCACCGACAAATATTCATCAGGCACCTGCTGGGCCAGGCTCTCTGTTCTTGGCACTGGGGATACCATGTGAAGAGAACACCCAGATCTCTGCCCGTGTGGAGTGTTCATGGTGGGTGGGGAAGAGAGGAAACAGAAGATGAAATTGTGAAATCAGTGGTTTGTCACGTGGTAACAAGTGCAATGGAGGACATGGTGCCAGCCAGGGGGGCACGGGTCCCAGGGAGTAGGTGTGGGAGGGTTGCTGTTTAAATAGAGTGGTAGGTCAGGACCCACTGAGGAGCCCCTGGAACAGCGACCTGAAGCGGGCAGTGAGCAGGTGGACACATGGGGGAGAGAATTCCCACCCCAAGTACAAGGGCATAATCCAGCTGCCAGTCACATACCAACACAATGGGTTAGGCCTCGCTCACTGACTGCCCAATGCAGGAGTTCCTTGGGTGGCCCTTCCTCCGCGTGGTGGTTCAAGGATTCAGGCTCTTCCATTTGTGGCTCAGGCAACCCCCCCCCCCCCCCCCCCCCCCCCCCCGC